TACTTAGATCATCAATATTCTCAGGCAATCTGTAACCTTCCCTTTTTCTAATGAAATTATATAAAACACACGTTGCGAGTACAATCATTGTAATTTTATCGGGTTTTCCTTGAAGCCTTCTCATGAATATTCGGAATTTTTGCGTTAAAATGCCAAAAGCATTTTCGGATATTCTCCTTGCTCTACTCAATCGGTAGTTGTAAATTGCCTTATCATCTGTTAGGTTTTTCCCTGGATATGGCCTCATCAGGTAAGTTTTGAGAGGGAATGCTTCATCGCCTACAATTACCATTGGAAGTTCTGTATTATTTTCAGGTAGGGCCCTCTTCTTCGGAATGTTTAATTTATCATTTTCTAATGCTTTTCCGAAATTTGAGTTGGCTAAAATTCCTCCATCAGAATTTTTCCCATAGCCTCCTACGTCTACAACAATAAAGTTATATAGAGGATCAACCAGAGCAAGAAGCACAATAGAGAAGGTTTTTTTGTAGTTCCAGTAGAGACTTCCTGATGACTTTGGAGCTTGTATTGTAATATGCTTGCCATCTAAAGCCCCAATACAGTTCGGAAATTGCCATCTTGTCCAAAATTTATCTGCTATCGATTTCCAGTCATCTTCTTTTGGCACTGGCATTTCTTCATTTAAAAGAACGTCCACTATTGCTGTGCAAGTGTCATGAACAATGGCCGCAACTGTTGATTTTCCCAACCTGTAGCTAAATGAAATAGTTTTGAAGGAATCTCCCGTAGCTAAAAACCTGAAACAAGAGTTACGATTAACCGCCCTCGGTGGTGTAGTAGTTAGCACTGCGGACTACAAGCCGAGAGGTCGTGGGTTCGAATCCCACCAGAGGTATGGCTGTTTATTTGTGTGTGTCTGTGTATACTCCTGTAATTGGGCCTGGTGCCTGTTGGAAGCACATTAAAATAATAATAATAATTAGTATTATTTGACGTTCCGGTTTTTTATCTGAATATGTTAATAACCAAGTGTATTTTTAATTTAAGTTAAAAAATATTTTACTTTGCAGGTGGAGTGGAAGAATGCAAAAAAAAATGGGCTTCTATACGAGATCAGCTACGTAGAACAATCCAAAAGCGAAAGACGAAATCTGGGCAGGCGGCACTCAAAAGTCGCAAATATAAATACGAGGATATCCTCACATTTTTGATACCTCATCTTGGAGAAAGAGATGGGATATCAAATGTGCAAAAATTCCCGGATACTGAAAGTGAATTAACCGAGGATCCTGAATTTTTTTTTCCAGAAGACGGGGATTCCACGTGCAAAGAAAACGTCCCAAGTCCGTTTAATAATATCAGTGTTGATTCATCCTCTTTAATTAAAAAATTATTTCAAACCTCTTCAAATCAAGACTCTACAAGCGAAGCCTCTGCAAGCATAGCCTCTGCAAGCCAAGCCTCTGCAAATCAAGCCTCTGCAAACCAAGCCGCTGCAAAACAAGCTCCTAGAAAAAAAATTTATTCCAAACCAACTGCTCTTAAAAGGAAGAATATTGAACGAATACAAGAAGAATCTCCATCAAGCCAGCTTATGGCCTATATACTTTCTGAAAAAGAAGCCGAGAGGAAAAAGGAAACGGAACAGCAACATCCGGTAGATGCATTTTTGAGTGGGATCGCACCACCTCTAAAATCGCTAAACCCATTTCTACTTCATAAAGCAAAAGGCGAAATTTTTAAAATAGTTCAAGAAATGGAATTAAAACAGCTTGAATTAACGAACGACTTTATAGTAATTTCCCCAACATCCAACTATTCATCAATGGGTGAAGAAACGACTGTGGAGTTTATAACATAACAACTTTATGTAAATAAAATACAAAAAAAAAAGAAATTAACAAAAAAATAATAAATAAAGTTACTTATTTCAAAGTTTATTTTCACTTACCTCAAACATACAGCCAAACGATGTTTCGGTGTTATCGATTGCCTCCAAAACATGTCCTCTTTTTTAATTCTCCTTTCAAGTTTCATTAAAAGTTCTTGGAAAGTAAATGTTGTCATCCGAAAATACTCGTAAAACTTCGATTCGTCATCTATGAGATGCGGAAACAGGGTGCAAAATTCCCCTTCTAATAATCTTTTCTTCCAAGCATTATGAACCCATATTCTTTTTTTAATTTGACATCTTTTTTTCTTATTATTATCGTCCTCCTCTAAGGCTAAAGCAATAATTGCGAGTTCGCTGTTTTTGAATTTATACATTTTTAAAGGAAAGACACTAGCAATAATTGCGAGTTCGCTGTTTTTGAATTTTGAAAGGAAAGATGCGGCGCGGCGTAAACACGGACAAGTGTGGTTTCAATGGGACCGAGCCGTAACGAGACCAACACTCGGCCGACACTCGGCCGACACTCGTGACGGGCACGGTGCGGAAATGTGTGTCTATACCTTAAAGCGTCCCTTCAACAGATCCATAAAAGGTCTTACTTTGGTCATTTTATCGGCCATGTTTAATTTTGTATTATCGCAAAGGTGCAAAAATCTCATAATTTGAATGAAGCGATCTCGGCGCATGGATTTGTGTACCATAGAATTGCGGACATCTTCGCCATTATTATAAAAAAAAAAATTTCCAGGGAGACTATTATACCCAGATAATATGAGTATTGCAATGAAACATTTTATTTTATTTGCTGTCACCATTGGGTCACTACAATTTAAAAAGTGTGCATACTTGATGTGATGATTTGATCCATGAAAAGTTCAAAAAATGAGACATATTTCGGTATTTAGATTTGTCGCATTCGGGAAAACTGTTACCAAGGACGTGTAGATCGCCAGTTTTTACCCATTCCCACTGTATTGGCTTGTTTTCAAAACAGTTGAGAGGAAGATCATCTTCTTTGTTATATTTTTCTTCACCAAGTCTTTTGTCACTAGCAAACACCGCCTCAGCACCAGATTGAAGTTGCCATCCTGAAAGATTGTCCAGAAGCCCCCCATTGTCCTTATCCGCGGAATCTTCATCTGACTGGACGTTGGTTGGTGGTGGTTCGATATAAATATCGGTAATTTCTTCATCTTTCCAAAATTCTTCACATTCTAATATGTCAGCTAAATTTTAGGATATATAAATGTATTTAAACATACAGAGTATAAGAGACTTGTGTGACCATATGGTTACAGTGGCCTAAAGCCGGCTCTGGATAACGTGGAAATATATATTTTATGTAGCTAACTTTGTTAATCAATTGACTATATATAAACAATTATATTTGCTAAGATTTACTTTGATTATAAAACGTAAAGTGTCAAAACAACTATACTTACGGTTTGTGATTACTCATAACTGGCACTTAACAAGCCACCTAAAAAATTACGTGTGCAGAAGACAGCTGACAACCAAACACTAAAATGTTTCACAATAGAGATTGGCAACACTCAACTAATCGATCTGAAAACATCACTTAAGCAATATTTCCATAATTATGGACTCTATATAACCTGATTTTTACCCCCTTTTTATGTGACCATATGATCACGCTAGTACATAATAGGTTTACCAGTTAAAACTGCTCTTAACATAACATATAGCCCTCATCTTTATCTCAAGATACGCCCTTTTGGGATAATGAAATTATTTTTACAGTTTTTAGCTAAATTAAATTATATTTTAAAGAAAAAATGTAGTAGGTGCTAGGTAGTATATTTAATGTTTTACCTATAAGTTTTGTGATAATGAAATTATATATTTTACGGCTTTTAGCTAATTTAAATTATATTTTAAAGAAAAGATGTGCTACTATAGTAGCACATTTTTTATATAAAATATATTTTAAATTAGCCAAAACGGTATCTCGAGATACGCCCTTATGTGATAATGGGGAGGATATATATATATATATATATATATATATATATATATATATATATACACAACACTGTAAATTCACCGCTAGTGGACGTAGACGTGGACGTTGAATAAGGTCGCTATTCGCAAATTGGTGAATTTTTAAAGGTGTTCTAGTGTACATATAATAAGGTACCTGAACTGTGGTGGATCCATCCACAGGCATTGTAAAAGCTTTCTGCCATGTCTGTCATGAATATTTTAGGTTTAATCTTTTTACAAACTTTTTCTTTAATGTATGAAAAGAAAATTGACATTATAACCTCATCAGAACGGTTTGATATCAAGAAGGCACAAGGGTAACCTTCTCTAATGTCATCAATGGCCAGAAGAGAAACCATTTCAAATCCATAACCCACAGGTGTCTTTAAGTAAAAATTGGTTTAATAAAAATGTCACCAAAAACTGTTTTGGAGACCTTGTAACAGAAGTACTTGGGTTCATAAAAATCAATCAAACAAAATCGTAGCTGCTCACTTAGGGCATATATTCGGTGTAAGATAATTTTTACAAATGTAGAGATAAATCGTTAATTTTTAACCATGCAAGGATCGTAGATTGTATTGTAATCAATTGATCTGGTAATTTGACATTTGTCAAACAGTGTCAGTGTCATTAAATTTTGTTATTTGTCAAACGGTATTGAAATGGCAACGGCTACGGTGTTCAAATGCGATCATGCCCAAAACAGGAAAAAAGTTTGTGGGTTGTGCGGAAGAAAAGTTATCTTCGGGAAATCAAGTGCTACGAAATTCCTTATTACCGAAAAACTGCAACAGTTGATAAAACAATTTGCAAACAAAAGTTTTGATATGTTTGATTCCCATCAAGTTTATGTGGTACATGTCGTATCACTCTTTGCGAACATGACAAGGGCAATTTTAAACGACAGTTGCCAAAGATGCCAAATTTTCACGACATACGACTACCAAAATCGACTAGAACAAGAAACGACGAATGCAACTGTTACATCTGTTTGACTGGACGCTTCATAGGTAAACACAGATATCTAGATGTAACATTACCAGACCAGTGGTGATGTTAGACCTACAAGTACCTAAATATTGCCACTATTTTTCATATTATATTCGCCTAGACCTAGGTCTAGGCAGTTTTGGAGAAAATGGAGCAAATAGGCGTACCAACGGTTAAAGTAATGGCGGAAGGAGGTCAAGGTTTTTTTAAAATATGTATAACTATTCTCCCAGAGAACTATTCACTCGATTTGGACAAAGGCTTAGAAAATACTGAATTAATTCAAGAGGAAGGGGAAGGAAATGATCAAGTGGAAATCAAAAGTCAAAGAAGTCTCCATGTTAATGGAGGGTCCATCGGAAAGAAAGGAAAATTGACAAGTGTAAATCGACTAATAATGCTTTGCATTGTACCTCAAGTAAAAGAAACTTATCAAAATGTTGAGTTAATGTTCAGATTAACAAATCTTAATGCAATCTCTTTTAAATTTGTCTCCGATTTTAAACTAATACTCTTAATCAATGGCAAGCAAACGGCTACCGCTACTTATCCGTGCCCATATTGTTTCATTACCTTAAACGATTTGCGCTATGATATGACAGTCAAAGAGGTTTGTGAGGAAACAGAAAAAAAAAAATGCGTCTACTACTTATTTAAAGACATATGGAGATTTAAAAAGAAGTTACGCTAAATTTTGTTTTGAAGGGAAAAACAAAAAGCTTGCGAAGGAATGTCACAGCACGATAAACCTTTCCCTTTTTGAAGAAGCTGATGATATGTATGTCATGTATCATACCAGAACTCCACCTACTCCAAGGATTCGTGAATCATTTATTTTTGGATGGCCTTGTGCCTCTACTTGGATGTGATAGAGCCTTGCTGTGGCCTAAAAAACTAAGCTTAATCGCGAAAAATTATCACGGTGTTATTTTCGAAGGGAATGCCTGTAGAAAACTTTTGAAGGAAAGCGACATATTTACTGTTCCAGAAATTATTAAGAATGTAGGAGTACTAAGCGTGATTCCTTTTATATCTTCATTAAAAATCATGAACAAAATTGTTGAAAAATGTTTCATGACTGGGAAGGTTGCTTCAGGATATGATTATGAAGCAGATATAAATATGTTATCGAAGTGTTTCAAAGCAACAAGCGTATCTGAAACTCTAAAAATTCATGTGATCATCCATCACCTTCAAGACTCAATAAAGTTTCTGAAAAATAATGGACTAGGTCTTTGGTCAGAACAGGCTGGTGAATCTGTTCACAGAAATTTCCTTATATACTGGAATAGATATAAAATAAACCGTTTAGACGATCCTAGATACATAGTTAATTTAAAAAAAGCTGTCGTTGAATTTTTATTACATCATTTGTAAATAATATGTATATATGCCCTAAGTAAGCAGCTACGATTTTGTTTGATTGATTTTTTTGATCCCCAGTACTTCTGTTACAAGATCCCCTAATCAGTTTTTGGTGACATTTTTGTTAAACCAATTTTTACTTAAAGACACCTGTGAAGACCATTCAGGCTGTGAGTGCCATCCAGGCAAATACAGTCATCTCCAAAGTTTAAGAGCATTTCGACCTGTACCTGTGTCATTATTATTAGCACAAAATCTTTTTCTTTCAGTGCTGGATGCTTTTCATTGAATGAATTTTGTTGTTTATAAAATAGTACAATTGCCTCCATTTGAGTAACCCAACAGTCCACACTTATAGCATCATTTGATTGACGTACAGATTCACCATTTAGATTATAAGCTTTTTCAATGTTATAAAGATCTTTTTTTCTTAGTAGATGTAGTCGTCCCGTACATTATCTAAAATAGCTTGAAAGGGAACCGAATAATTCAGGTTATTTTAATAACCGGGTAATAGGTTATTTCAATAACCGGGTAATAGGTTATTTTTCACTCGAGTGATCCCAACACTACTATAAACAATTTTTTGTTTGGCCGACGAAAGTCGGGCCCTGTTAAGTAAATAAAACATAAATTTTACAATTTAATGTTAAATAAAAAATCTATTTATTAAGATGTAACATATATATTACAACTATACCTACTTACTTGTTTAATATGAGAAATAATAATATTATATTATAACAAGTATTACATTTTATTTTTTTAGTAATTTTAAGTAAATTTAAATCAAATAAAGCAAATTTCATTTATTTATATTTCTTTATTAAGAGGGACGCTCTGTATAACATATGTTCATATATTAAATGCGTATTGTCGCAACGTTTTTTTTCTTCTATTTTTTTTGAGTTCTCCTGGTTTTCGACATTTTGCTGTGTCGCTTCAGTTTTAGTCGGTCTGCCTAAGGTGTATCATCGTTCTATTGTGAATTTTGTGAATTTTTGAACGTCGTTTGTACGGATACAGGGTACATCAAAGGTTTGTTCCTTTTTCTTGTTTGGAAAGCGACTCCGTCGGATTAATAGACCAATTTTCTGAAACTGATAACCTCCATCACAAGCGGAGGTAAGCAAATTAATAATTATTAAGGTGTGTTACTTAAATTCATCTCTCGTAGGTTTTTTTTGTTGTTGTCTACTTTTCTTTACCCGCCAACTTTCCTGTGAGGCATCGTTCTGTGGATATTCCCACTTCCAAGTCAAAAGAAGCTAGAGATTGCCCGCATGGTTACTGATCTACCAACCACCATATTTCTGACGTCAGTTCCGTTTGGACGTCACTTCCAGTGGCCATCTTGTACAGATACTCAAGTAGGTGCTGAAAATTAAGAAAAGCGTTCATTAATATTATTTACAAGTACTTAACTGTATATTACCTACCTTGTTGAATAGTAAATTTTGATTAATTAACCCTTATCGCCAGATTACTTTTATGTAACTAAATATATACTAAGATCTACCACCTAACCAGGAATAATTAATCTTATATAACCAACGAGTGGATCAAAGTAATCGATCCTCTTAAAATTATATTATATATATTTAATTTTAAATTTTAGTAAACTATTGTAAGGGATACTGAGCTCAATATTTCACTTTTCTTTCTGTTCATAATTTTCTGTATTTGATAATTTTAAATTTTCTTTAGTTATAATTTACATTACTTTTATTATCAACCTATACTCACTTAATTGTCAATATAATTTGTCATAATCCGCTAGAATTTGGACTCTCCTTGGTATAATTGCGACCACTTACGTATGTACGTGATTAGGTAATAAAATTTAAAGTTATAATCTAAACAATATTTTATTTGTATCTCCCAGACAACCTGCAAACACTTAATTTAGGATTTTTTTAAGGTATTGTATCATAAGTGTTGGCTTTATCTAAAATACTTGGCGCCCCCTTAATCACTATATCGTTAAGCTCACTCCCAACTCCACTAAAGCTGGCCGAAGCACTTATTTTTGTCAACGTTACTGGTGGGATTTGTATTTCATTTCATAAAATATTGTTAATGTTTAATTGTAACGTAACACAAGATCAAAAATGTTTAAAGCTCATTTTACTTAAAATTAGTGAAGTATAGGAAAATACATTTCGACAGGAAAAAATATAAAATAAATTCAAATGAATTTAGAATGATAAAAAATATCGGAAAATAATCTTGCCATATATTTATTTTTATATATACTTTATAGAAAAACCAGGTTTCTTTCCCTTATACCCCTTTGATGACCCTGCGTCAAACATCTATTCTTGTTTTGACGCAACGTCGCTAGGTGGCGCCCGTCACTGTTGCATTTCTCTCGCTTGTGCTAGAGTAAAATATTTGCTTAAAAGATGGAGTGTAATAAGTTTTCGTTATCCCCACTCACTCATCATTCACATCACTGATCGTCATTCACTCATCGACTCACATTCACATCACATTCGACTGTGTAAATTCGAGCTAACAGGACCTACCGACGCTGAACTGAGTAGGCGTCGGTCCCCTATATGCTTTTTGTTCATATTTTTTGTTATATTTTTTGTGAAAATTATGTTTGTTAGTGTGCACGAGGTTAGTCTTATTTTATTTTTGTTTTACCATGCATGTTTACTGATTTTATTGATTTTAATGCACTTTTTAAATCTATATTTTATTATTACTGCTATATTTATACTCTGTGATAACATTTCCCTGAAGCTAAAACTGTTTTTAAAGCATTATTTCCAAAATCCAAGCTCTGTAGCCTCCGGCCGCTGCGCTAGGAGTGCTGCAGAAAACTGCTGCCGAAAATATTGGCCGAGCCAATTTTTTCCTAAGCCACGTCCACTTGGGCACTTTTCAAAACCTTTCTCCCCAGCTACCTTTCCCAACGGCTGAATTTACCACTACCTTACAGGAGAATATACCCACCATTCTAGCTGGGGACTTTAATGCAAAACATCCAACATGGAACAGCACTAAAATAAATCAGAATGGCCGTAAACTCCTCTTGCTAATGTACGACCACGGCTGGGAATCCATGGGCCCAGAAGACCCAACATACTCTCGCCCTCACCAGCCACCAGACATTCTAGATATTGCTCTGACCAAAAACATCTTCCACAACATGACCATAAAAACTCTAACAGGCTCCACGTCGGATCACAGTCCTGTACTGATCCACCTCGGTCCTTACCAGATTAACCACAACAACAAAATAATCAAGAAAACTAACTGGTCCCTCTATAATACGATAGTATCACGGCAATGCCCAGTTTTACCAGCCCCATGTACTCCGCAGGGGGTAGACCAGCAAGCCCAAATACTGACCAACTGCATCACTGAAGCACTTGAGCAGGCCACAGCCATCAGAACGGCACCTATATTTTGCCCATATTCCATACCACAGGAACTAAAAAACCTGATAACGCAAAAGAGATTGGCCAAGAAAAAGGCAGAACGCACTCGACACCTACAGGATAGGAATGAATACAATAATCTGGCCAGAAGAGTAAAATGGACACTCCAAGACAACAGGAGTAAAAAATGGGGTGAAACCTTGAACAACATAGATCCTAAGAACAACAAAGAAATATGGAGGCTAGTCAAGAGGCTAAAAAACAAGGAGCCAGCCCAAAATACCCCGTTGCAGGGCCCAGATGGTCTCGTCTTCACGAATCAAGAAAAAGCTGAATGTTTTGCAGAGCATTTGGAGGAACAGTTCAAGGCCCACCCCCCTATGCAAAAACACGCTGCTGAGGATGAAAGGATGGAGGCATTAGTGGAGGAATTCCTGCAAGACAGATATGAAGAAACAATCACACCTATGAGCCTAGAACAAATAAAAAACATTATACAGGGCCTTCAAAACAGGAAAGCACCGGGACATGACCCAATACCAAACCTGGCCATTAAACGACTGCCACAGCAAGCGGTGGAAAACCTTCTTAACATCATAAATGGAGTTCTCCTCACTGCTCATTTCCCAGAGATGTGGAAACAAGCAGTGGTAATTCTGATACCCAAAGGCAAAAAATCAAAACAACAACTGAACAATCACAGGCCTATATCCCTTCTCCCATCGCTTGCCAAAGTGGTGGAAAAGGCCATAAAAACAAAACTAGACGAAGAAATTGAAGACAAGGAGCTCCTACCTGAGGAGCAATTTGGATTCAGAAAACATCTATCAACGGAGCTCCAAATCCTAAGGATTACGGAGATAGTTAACCATGGTTTTGATTTCAAACAAAGAACGGGCATGGTTTTATTAGACATCTCCAAGGCGTTTGACAAGGTATGGCACACGGGGTTGTTGATCAAGTTGATCAACATGGAAATCGCCCCACCCCTTATCAAACTAATTGCATCATATCTAAAGGAACGCAAATTCACCACGAAAATACAAGAAGCAACCTCCATGCCTCATACCATTAGCGCTGGTGTCCCTCAGGGATCTGTCCTGGGGCCAACGCTCTTCAATCTGTACATGGCAGATCTACCGAGCACAAGAGGGGTGCAACTTGCAATGTATGCTGATGACACAGCGCTAATATACAAGGGGTCTAACAACAGCTTTACAAGGAACAAATTGCAGCAAGCACTGGACAAAATCAAGTCCTGGGCAGATAGGTACAGGATCAAACTAAACCCAGATAAAACACAAGCAATTTTCTTCAAAAAAGGCGGATCTCTACCTACCCCCTTAAAATACCAAGATCAAAACATACAATGGTCTTCTACGGTCTTGGTCTTCTTGGGAGTCGTGATGGACGACAAATTAACCTGGAAGACACATATAGACAATACCCTGATTAAACTAGCAGGAGCTAAAACAGCACTAAGACCACTGTATGCCAGCACTCACCTTAACCTAAAAACAAGACGCCTAATCTGGACAACAATTCTGAGACCAATAATTATGTACGCAGCCTCAGCGTGGTCCACGGCAGCCAAAATACACCGGAAAAAGCTAGAAGTTGCACAGAACAGATACCTTAGAACCATCACAAGGGCACCATGGTTTGTCAGAAATGTACAAATCAGGGAGGAACTGGGACTACAACCAATATTAACGTACATTCAGCAGATGACATTAGCCACGGTAGAAAGAACGGATACAATTGATAACAGTGCACTGCATAGTGCACTAGATTACACTCCAAACCATAGACGCTTGTACCGTGGAGTCAGAGGAACGATTGTGGACTTCAGACCCCCTTGATATTCTCAAAACATTTTATTCCTTAAGACAAACCAAAAACAGCCAATGCCAAAATTAACATAACACTCAAACATAAATACAATACACTAAAATCTTACAACAAACTCATACATAATAACCTAGACATCTACAAAGATACAACCTCTAGTTTTTTTGAATTATGATTCACTTCAATAAAAACAAACTAAGATGTGTAACAATAAATATTTTAATACAAGTGTACACAATGTCAAACATTGGCTGTATAAATTCAATTCAATGTCAATTAACATCCATGTCTCGATCTCCCACACTCAACATGACAACAATTAAATTTTTGTTCAATTTCTTTCAGGGCAACACTATCTAGACCCCCCAATGCAGACGATGGGAGCAGCTAACTTATTATAGATAGTTTGTTCCCATCCCCCTGCTAGATCAAGTAATGGCCGCTGGCGGACCCCATACTTTCCCCTCCAAAAACCATCCCCACCTCTCCAGAAATTTGTTACTACCATCAAACCTCCTGCACTATCAAGGTAAGGGCAAAGGGTCCACATGACCCAACCCTTGCTAGGGAATTTTTTTTTTTTCGTTATCGCTTCTCGGCCTATGGCTAAGATCAAAGTGTAGCACGTAACTGGGGTTCGACAATACGCGTGATATTCGATCTGTGATATATGTGATAATAAAAAGTGAATTATATGTATTTTTCTATGTTCTACACTTTTTTTTTTTTGTTTATGTATTTTATCCATTTTTGACACATGTATTGTGAGAATATTATTTTTATATATTTATTTATGTTCTACTTGTACCTCTATGACCTCTATGACTGAAAAATTATCTAATCTAAGACTTTATTGTAAATTTCTGTAACTTAATATTTTTTCAATAAATGTATCAATCTGTTCTTATCAGCTTAATATCTGATACGCACCGCATGCGGTGCCAGTATATTAAACTGATTTTTGGAAATTGACGGGAGTTAGGGGCTTGCTCCACTCCCGTCGCGGGTTGGCCCGGTATTGCAGTACCGCCGGGATCGGCCCATATTTATG